TGCATATTCTACAGATTTGGAAGCCCTTATATACATTGAGTAAATCTAAAGTTTTTCTTTCTGTGCTCTTGCCCAGTTTTACAGCTTAGATTTTTGCTGTTTAAAATTAATAAGTGCAAAGCAGCTTAAAATACAGCTGCAGATGGATATGGGTATTTTCCACTGCCTGTGCCCTCAGACCTTACTGACATTCCTGAACCGATGATCCAACAAATGCTAACAACAGAAGGGAGTTACTTGAGAGAACCACCACATGGGTCCAGAGAACCTTGTATGGTATCAACTAACATGTCCGGTAGATTCTTCATGACAATGCTTAATGTGCAGGCAGTGAAAACCTGACACATTAATAATTTTGTCAAATAACTCTTATTCCTACATCTCTATATAGAGAATGGTTAATGCATAATGAAAAGATGCTATTTTACAGCACCCACCACCTGTGAAATGTAACTTCAGGTTGCAAACCCACCAGAACATTTCCTTTTGCCCAGAGCCTGGACAGGCTGCAACACCTGACTGCTGAAAATCCATCAATAGTGATAAATAATTCCCCGTTCTCAAAAGGTTTCCTGCATTCTTCTCTTCCATAGCACATAGAGTAACACAAACTGAGGAAAGCACATGGCTTCGGTGTTCCACAGCTCATAAGGGCTAGAAAGAGACATCGGGGAATAAATGTCCTCCTTCACCCTCCCACCAACAGCCTCAAGTTTGAAAGCATTTCATGGGCAGTCACTCTGGTAACTGTTAATGTAACAGTAAAACACAGGTTTTAAAATAATCCGGGAAAGGGAATAGCATCACAGAAGTTTGAGAGTGCTCCTTTCAAGCATACTTTTTACAATAATTATTACCTCCCCAAAACAAAATCACACAACTATGGGCCAAGTACCCTACAGAACCTCAAAACACCAGATACTTCCATAAGGATTTAAATGCAAAGAGTTACAGCAAGTAACTGTACCAGAGCAACTTTCAAACGAAATGAGTTCTGTAACAACACATTGCTCAAAAAAAATTGGACCTACTGCAAACCAATGACAAGAAGACAGAGGAGCCTGAATTTCTCCCACCAAATTTGGAGTACACGGTGATGAGTCAAATCATGCTAAGGCAACATTACCAAAATGAGTGCCTCCTAAGCAGAACAGGAGTAGTGATGAAAACGTCATTAAATGGGATCCCTTGGGATTTAGGATATAATAAGAACATTTTTGCAAGCACAAGAAAATTCAGAGCCTTGACTAAGCGCCTTACTGATTCTATGTTTCCATGACGTTAGAAAACCTAAACAACTGCAGTAAAGTCATCATTAACATATGAATTCAAGGACTACATAGTGAAACTGGAACACAAAATAGTTCTTCTAACAAAACCCCATAAGTTATGAAGATACTGAAATTCACCAAGTTAAACTCAACTGTTAAAAAATCCAAAGCTTATTCCTAGCTCTGTGCAGCCGCCTTGAACCTAGTTCCCTGTTTACACTTGGTGATAAAGTGGCTGACCACAGACTTTCCTCATCTACATTCCTCCTAAGTAACACCGACAGAAAAGATGGAAAGAAGTGTTTCGAAGTAGTTGGTGCAGAATATTTTGTGATTGAACTTTCGAACTCTTCTATTTTTTTTTAAGCTGCTGTCTGAAAGTAAACAGATTCCAAACAAATTTTGAGACATGCAACAGCTAACAGACATTGGCAAAAAAGTTTTCAAAATATAAAAGCAGAAGGGAGCTCTATGGTCCATAAGCTATTTGAAATGCCATCTCATGCATCTGTAAACAATATTCTTCAGTTATTAGTTCTTCCCTTTCTTGTAGCATTAATTTAAAAAAAAATCAATGCAAACTGCTTCAACTGGACACCTGGGATGGTTTAAATGGAAGTTACTTTACCAGACTTGTTCCTGCTGTCCTTTGAGATTTATGCACTACTATATAAATATACATTTTTTTGTCAGGAGAAGTTTATTTTACCATTTCTTGTGCAACATCATCAGGAGTTTCCTTCTCCAGATCAAAAGTAAACTCAATGGCTCCATTATCTTTGGGTTTTCCTTTCAGTTTCTTAGGATCTTCTACCCAGAGTCTTAAGGCAATAGAGGATTTCCTACCATGGTCTTCTTCTGCAAGTTCCACTCTTACCCCAGTATCTTCAGCAAAAAAGGCATGGCTTAATAAATCTTTAATTTCATATCTGCAATGGATACAGAGAATATTCAAATATTGCAAGTCTTAAGCACTTTCAAAGAAGCTTGTGATAAGAAACTGCTATTAAAGGTGAAAACATTTACAGTATGTTTGGTGTTCATCCACAACAAGTTTGTGTTCTTGGCAAAAAGACTGTTTCCAGTGTTATTGAGGACTGCTGAAAAAATGATGTTCGTTTCCTATTTCACAAAGCTTCAGCAATATTCATACCCCATAAGCACGTACAGAAATGCAGGATTATAGCTTTGCTCAACTTTTCTCGAGCATCTGAGCTTAGTAAGCACTAAAAAAGAGGTTCCCTCTAGGCAGTCAGTTGAGGTCCCTAAAAACCGTATTTGTGAAAGTTATGAATTACTGGACAGTGGACACACTAGCCTAGGAGAGGCCAGTATAAGAGATTAGGTTTTGAAAGAAAAGCTGGAAACAAGGCACAATTTCTCTTCATATCCAGAGGTTAGTGAGCCGATGGAATCTGCTACAGCAGCTTGTGGGGAAGCCTCTACCACGGCAAATTCATGGTCAACCTCCTCCACACCTGATGCTCCATGCAGAACCTCCTGAGTGAGATTTTATGGACAGCTATGACAGAATGTGCTAGAATACACTAGCTTGCATAGAATGAGACTGGTCTGCATCGGAAGGGACCCTAAAGCCCATAGAGTTCCACCCCCTGCCATGGGCAGGGACACCTCCCACCAGCCCAGGTTGCTCAAAGCCTCATCCAGCCTGGCCTTGAACCCCTCCAGGGATGGGGCATCCACAGCTTCTCTGGGCAGCCTGGGCCAGTGCCTCACAGGGAAAAAAAAAATTCCTAATATCTTATCTAAATCTACCATTTAATACAAAACTTGATTACTTGAAACAAACCTTTCTTCTTTATTTTTGCAAATGCACTCCCCAATTATCTCCTTAATTTCAGGATCCGTAACTTTCTCAAAGCTTGCTGGCTTTATACCCTAAAAGGATAGAGAAAAACAATTTAGTTTGAAAATTACATTATTTGAATTTGAATAATTACATTAATTAAGGACACTTTTCCTATATTTTGCAGTCAATTCAACCCTTGGATCAACTAATACTTTAAAGTTAGTGGTCTTAACGTAAAACTGAAGATTTAAGGCTACTGTATTTTTAAGTACCATTGCACTTCAAAATAAGCACACGAGTTTGTACATGAACTCAGCCATAAACAGGGAAAATCTCCCTTTTTCTTTACTAATTTTTGCAAACCTTAATTTTATATCCTGTAGACTCTGAAGTCAGTATTCAAGAAAGAGCCAACTTTAAATTTCCAAAATATATTTCCAAATATATTTCAAAATAACTCTTTTCTAAAATTATTCTTTTCATGGTTTGCCTTAACTCTCAAAACACTAAATGAATAAAGAGAAATAATTGTTTTTCTTCAGACAGCCAGTGTCAAGAATGAGTCAAAAATACCTTGGAAGACCCACACAATTTTCCATAGTCCTATTTCCCACTAATCTTTTGCTCTTCTATGTCCCCAACACTCTCCAACACCCCCACCTCCCCAAAACATGCAAAAAAACCAAACCCCAGACCAAGCAGGGGAGCAGCAAAACACATTCAACAGCTCTGTGTTGCTCTTGCATTTCCCCAGCACATTGTTAGAATCTTATTGGGAATGGATTGCAGAGCAGGCGTAACCTATAAAATGACCTATAAATCAAGTTAAATCTCTATGAAACATTGACATTTTTGCTGGGACTAGTGTTCAGTTCTAGATTGGGAAGAGCTGGCCGATGATGGCATTTCAAGGAGAAAACCCAACTGTTCCTTTCAGAAGGAAACTTAGAGGAGCAGAATTTGCTTCTCCACACAGGGAGCTCTGGCTTGATGTAGATGCAACAGGAAGAGTTTGCATTTCTCTCAGGTTAGGTGGGGTGGTTTTAAGAAGATAGAGAGGATTTAAAGGAAACACACACTTCTAAGGCAGTCATAGGCCATCTCTCCCAACTTTCTAACATTTCAGGACCAAGATCTTAACTCAGCGTGATTCTGCACAGGGCAGATAGCTCCTTCCTTAAAATAAAACAGATCTTACCAGGATAAAGAGACTATATTCAGCTATAGATGACAAGAGCGGCAACGCAAGAAGCTTTCCTTTTTATTTGTGATGTTCAACTTAAATCACACAAAAATTGATTCAGTTTTAAAAACACATAGCATCTCTACCTACTAAAACGAGATGTAAATGAAAAATGTACATAGAAGATGTAAATGAAAAATGTAGATAGAAGATGTAAATGAAAAATGAAAATTTGACAAAATTAATTTGGGAACAGATTCTGCAGCTAGACCTTATTACTTAAGGACCCAGGTATTTCTAATGAAATCAATAAGTGAAATAAAAAGGAAACATTATTTCCTTTATCTAAAAAACCAGAATCTGATTAAGCACATAACTGAATGGGAGTTGGCCATTTAACTCCATTCAAATCCTTTTAAAGTTTCACCCAGGAAGAACAGTAAATAATGGATTGTCCAGTGGCAGATAAGGAGGCCTGAAGCCCTGAAGAGCGGATTTTTGGCTCACCTTATGCTGCCTTGGGGGGGGGGGGGGAAAAAAAAAAAAAAAAAAAAAAGTATTGCAGAAGATGTCTGCAAGTACTTCATTGAATTTGGTCTTGAATAAATTTTATGGGTGAATTTCAATGAGGGCTGGCATCTCTCTGAGAACTGATGAATATTCCAGCATCAGAGCATACCTTTAGCTTTTCATTAACATTCTGCTGCTGTTCAAGCCTCAGATTCGACTTTAAACTGGGATTGATTTCTTTACCTCAGCTTCACCACTCCCTTTTTGTCTTAAAACGCAAGAGTGAAATATGCAATTCATAAATTTTGAAAAAAAAAATCATGGCATAGTCATACAAAGACTCAGCTTCACAGTTCTGTCCAGGCAGAGATCTGCTGAGATGCAAAAAACCCCCATTCTTGTGGGAACAAAACAAAATAATCCATACGTGTGTGTGGCTGGCTGTGACCCACTAAAAAGAATTATTTGCTTAAGCAAACCTAAATCTTACTTATAAGATGAGGTTTGAAATTTTGTACACTAGAAAAGTATGTCAAAATGATAGGGGGTGTCTAGCCTACCAAAGCCAGACTTGCTTTAAAACAAGGAAAAGCAAGAGTATCTCTTAAAGAGCTCTGACACCTGAACTAGAAATGAAAGAAAACAACAAAGTACCAAAAGACATTTTTAGCATGAGTTATCTATATCCTAAAATACTCTAAAGCTACAAGAGTCTATCGCATTCTCAGATGGGGAGGAGTTTGAAGACATCTTCCGTAATTCACCGTGGAAGGCAATAGGACAAATCTCCACACTTCCCAACACACACAGTTTGCAATAGGAAACCACTGATTTCCATCTTGTTGAGACTTACCAGAAGAATGGGTAATAGAGACCATCACCTGCTATAGCTTAATATTTACTGGAAAATATCCCACAAATGTGCATCGGTGTAATTTTTAACTGAGGACAAACCAAACCAAAAACCACCCCAAAACCAAAGAACCCAACAAAGCAGTAGAAGCAACTCTCACCATGCAGCCTGGAGGTTTCAGCTACTTAGAGGAATATGTTGCTCACATATCTACGCACTCAAGGGAACCTGCCAATTGCTTTTCATGATTGCAGAGCGCTTCATGGGTATTGTAACACAAACTGAACATATGACACACAAATAGCACAAGGCATATGACAGCATCTCTCAATTTAATTTTCTTTTCCAGTATTCATGAAAATCTTTGTTTATGTGGTTCAACTTGAAGTCTGACATGGCTGGGATGGAGCAGGGCAGGACACGCTGGGCACTGAGAAATTAAGTTTGCCTGAAAATGCTCCTGTTAACAGATCCCTGATAACTGATCCCAATTTTTAACTTTACAAATTGCTTCCACCAAAAAAAAATTAAAAAGCAACTCCACCAAACATCATTCTACTTTCAACATCTTTTGAAGAAACATTGACTCTACTCCAAACATCTATTGTATTAATCTACCAACCAGCTAAGCTATGAATAGATGACTAAAACAAACAAGGACAAAACATGCACAGTGAAGTACTGAACGGAACCTGCTTTGCCAAAGTCTTTTCTCAATGCCCATATGCTACAGCACACTTGTGCTCCCTACTCTTCATTAAAATCTCCAAGGCCATCTTATTGTAATGCTGCAAATCCTCCCCACGGCGCTGTGCTCAGGGACTTACCAGCCTCCTGACAATGAAGAGGGTTTAGGCAAAACACGGGCTTCTGTTGGCAATCAAAGGGCTCATCTCATTCATTTATACAAAAGCCATCTGTCCCGAGCATTCACAAGGAAACATGGCACCAAAATTCAAAGTATATTAGCTAAGGAATTATCCATGGCAGCTTGAAAACTCTACAACTGTCTTGTAAACAGAGGTAAGTTCTGAAACATAGGGCTAACTGGTTGACACAAGGTGTACAGGGATATTTCCATACAAATTCTTTAAATGCTAAAATAACTAATAATCCAAGAGCAAAATGAGAGAACTCCCTTTTGAGAATTTCTGTCTCAAGCGGGATGGCTGACTTTGAAGCCCTCACCATCACTTAGTCTCCTCACCTTCTTTCTGAAGTAATTAGATCTGAAATACATGGCACTCCAGTATAAGATAGTTGAGTCTACAGTTGGGCACATATGGGACACTGAAGTTTTAACCTCCATGGTGGGGGCAAAAAAGGTTGTTTTTCAGAACTCTAAAAACATCCACTTGTCATTCTTCCATCAGCAGAGCATGCTTTTGAAAGAGTAACATGGAACGCTTTATAAGATGCACAGTGTATGCCAGACAAGTCAACGTCTGACCCATGTCAGTCGCTTTTCTGAAGGCTTTTCCTTCACCCAGGAGGTGCCCTCCTGGTCTAGATATGGTCTAGTTGGGACTAAACCCCCACCTTCTGCCTGAAGGTAGTCTCTAGACTCACGTAGTTCACAGAAAATGAAAAAGTCTCCTCTACCAAAAAAGCTGAAACCGCGTTTCCAACGGAAATTCCATGCTACCACATGCTCTCTGAAATCAAAGTGAAAGCAAAGTTCTCAATTTTGTCAGGATTTTGTTCCATGACATTCAGCAGCGAGACCACTGTGTGCAATTGTAAACTCATCTCTGTTTCACTCCAAAATGGTACTCAATCCTAATGCTAATCTAAGAATATTATCTACAGATCTAAGAAGCAATCTGAAACACACAAAAAAGTCAATGCAATGACATTCATAACATTACTTGTCTGTTGTTGCTATGCTACGGCTATGGCATTTATTTTATCTGTATGAGCAAGACAGAATATAGCCTGCGAACGCTGAGAAAACATTCAATACATTTATAAAAATGAAATATGAAAACTTAAAATGCAAACCAGAAAGCTACAAGCATGCGGGTCGGTTTAAAGCACAGGTTTGTGCTGCTAAACCCAACGAGGTCACCATGAACCCCCGGCAGATACAGCTGGTCTGCTGGGCATTCTGCCGTGCATCAGTAAGAAAACATCGGACTGGAGCAGCATGGGAAGGTCACGGACTCCCATGTTTCATCACTTTTGTGTACATCAAAATCACTTGGCAGAATGATTAAACACACACAAAAAAATCTGACTAAGAAAAACCATCAAGTTATGCATGAAAAATGAGATTATGGCATCAGAATGAAGGTCACTGCAAATATGCTGACCAGGGTATCGCTCCAAAGTTAACTGCAGTAAACGTGGCTTGGACCTGTTGCTTGGAAAATGGGTATTTTCTATTTGTGTTACATATCCACTTTTTTTTATGCTTACACTCCAGAATTCAGGCTGAAAGGGCAGAGAGAGAGGTGACAAGTCATAACACATCCCATCTGGCAAAGAAATGAGCCCCTCGGTACCTCCGGGAAATGACTGCTGCATCATCCTGGACTATCATACACATACAGCTACACGTATGTTAAAACACGCATGGAAAACTAGAGCAGCAATTAAGTCACAAGAACAGGGTCAGGTAGAATAAAAGGTCACTGAAATAAGTATAATAATCTTACACCACAGACATGCACAATGCATAATATCTTAAACCAGCAGAGTGATGGCTCAGGAAGGTAAGGTTTCTATTTTCTGTACCAACAAGGACTACCCGTGCATGCGACTAACAGCTGTGACTTCAGGTGTATCTTACACCCTAGTAGCAGGCAAGTTTGACAGAGCGTTAGGACAGAGTAGAAACAACTGAGAAAGACGTTACAATGCCAAAAACCAAAGTAATACCCTGACTGCGCTGGGCAGCAGGGGGAACGCACAGCCCAGCGGAATCCGAAGGAAGGGTGGAGGCAAGGCAAAGAACAAGGTGGGTTTTGTACCTTCACTAGCAAGCAACCCTTGATGCAAACACTAGCAAGCGATTCTGACCCCTTTAGATGCTTATCAGCACCTCCAGCAGATACCACTGTGACGCTGAGCCCAAGGCAGGATAAGTCAGTTATTTGATTTTATATTTTTAAAATAAAAGCATCAGGAAACCAGACAGAGCAATCTCCTTTTTACATCACACTGACCCTCAATTTAAAACACTAAAACCAGTGTTCACATTTCTGGTGCAAAGAAACAGTTTAATCAAAAATTAAGCAAATTTCTCCCTAACAAGCTGAACTAGGTGCCAGCGTTCAGGAGCACTGCACCGCTGCACCCCTCCATCTGAGAGGGTCAGGGCCACCTTCTGCTCCAGCCGGCACCCCAAACCTCATCTCCCACTGGGAGAAACACACTGTAACTCAGGCTCTTGGTTTCAGCCTGCGCTCCATTTCTATATTTCAGTCTAGTAAAAACCAACACTAGCAAGAGCTGCTGCATGACTAACCCCAATTCTCCATGAAAACTGATTTTTAAGTTTTGCCTGAGGCAGAGCCCACCGGTTGGTGATGGCTCAGGACAAGGTAGGGGGACCCCACACCCAAAGCACCAACACCCCAAGAGCAGCTCCCCTCAGCCCCCGGCACCGGTGGTGACTCACACGGGGCAAAGCGAGGTCCCCGGCTGTCGCCAGCTCTTCTGCGGACGCAGCTCCTGCGGAGCGGCAGTTGAGCCCAGGCTGGAGGTTCCTTTGGGGTGATGATCCCTCCCAGGGTGCTGGGCTCCTCTCGAACCCTCACCCAGAGGTCCACCCCCTGCTCCTCCTCCCCGCAGGACAGTTGGTGCAGCTCCACTGGGCTTCTTCTCTCTCAACAGGGAGCTGGTTAACCCTTTCCTCGCAATGACAGTGATGCTGATTTTTCCATCTAAGGAATGCCAGCGCCTTTGCTCCTACTGCTGCTTTCAGTTCAGCTGAAAATAGCAGTAACCGCACCCTCCACGTCCATACCTGATGCTTTAAAAGCATTCCCTGCTAGACAGCTCTATACCCCTTACAAGGAAGAAAGTGACCTTTCAACAGCTTTTCCACCATTACCTGTTCTTCACAATAAACATTATTTCCCATCTCTCTAAAGTTGCTTGTGTAAGACCAGTTTTACAAAGTTATAATAATTTACCATATAATCCTCTGCTATGGAGAGGTTATTTCCACAGAAAATGAGCTGGCTCAGGCTTCCATCAGTGTTTAAAAAAATGCCTCCTTAAGTCTGCAAATTGAAATATAACATCTAATTAGGAATCCTCTGATTAATCATTATTCTGTGCCATCTTGGATACTGCTTTGATAAATGAGGCTTAGGAGTCTTACAAGGTCTTAATTACCAATATTCCAGATGGCAAAGAGTCGTACACGAGTCTCTTTGGCTATGTGGAGCAATGGAAGCCATCTATATCATTGGTGGCTCTAAATGCATACACACATACCCAGGTCGCCTTAATGTTAGCAAACTGCGACAGCAGCTCCACAAACAAATGAGGCACACTGCTCGCATGACGCCTGTCCAACGCAGCACCTAACGCGCCCTGCGCTGCTCGTGAAGCCATTGAGCATCTAGGGTTACAAGAACAAAAGGACCCCCAGTATCACATCCAGTAGACAAGGCCCCAGCGCTTAAAATCAGATGAGGTTCCCGCTGTCACCACGTGAAGCTTTAGAGCCTCAGAAGAGCTCTCCTGAGCTACCTACAAAGGTGGCATTTAGAGCACAGCCGAAGCGATGCTGCTCCAGCCATAGCGATGAAGCTAATTACACTGCTGAGGAGCTTCTGCTGCCCTTTTTTTAGTGATCTCTGAGTATCTACAGGTTGGAAAGTAACACTCTAAGAAGAGTTCAACTACCATAAACCAGGGTTGCGGTCCATTGGGAAAGACTCAGCGTTACCAAGCTACATATGTCAGCTTGCAACAGTCTACACAAAAATGGGATAAAGCTGCTTCCCCTCTTCAGGTGTGCCCTCCTGCTTGCAGAAGGTCATGGCACCGCTCATTTCTAGCAGGGTCATCTTCCTGTATTTCACAATACTGACTTCAGTTTTTAGACACAGACTCCCAAGCTGTTTCCATCCTCACGCCCCCTGCCAGGCTAGCACCTTCACAGCAACCTACAGCAAGAGCACCAACTTCCCAGCACCCCAGTCTTCAGTGGTGGAAAGAGGCAGATGGTGAACAATACAAACTAGACCTATAAAAATTAAATTGCACACAACCTCATCATCTGGCACACGCGAGCATTCGGGTATCTGATGAACCCACCTCTGTACCCACTGTGAGAATTAGCATACAACAGATGAGAAAAGGCAATTTTGACCCTGAGCAGCGTTTGCTGACTGCAGGATTTCACAGAACCGTATTTCTACTGGCCTGATTCACTAAACCTCGAAGATGGCAAGCAGTCTCAAGTACCTTTCAAAATCAACCAGTTACTGCCAAGATGCATTTGGGAAGACCTTTGCTCATCACAAGCATTTGGATAAGAGGAATACAAACCAATTTTGGGACCACGCTTCTCGAGACTGAGATGGATTTGCTCAATATAATATATAAGGAATATAAGCAACTTTATCTGTAGTTAATTTTTGCAAATTTTACTACAGCTTTCTTCAGAGGATTACCCTCTTCACATCCCAAGTGTGCAGACTGCATCTTTTGGTGATGCACAAGGGCGAAATCACACATTTTACTATTTTCCTTGGTAGCAACCAGAGGGAAAGAAGCACCTGGGAAAATCTTTGACAAACCAGTCTTGTTGAACATAATCCATTGTGGAAAAAAAACCTCCTGTAACTCTTGGTTTCACTTAACCAAGTAGAACAGAATGCAACCACAGCTGCCAAAGCCTTTGGCAAGTCTCATTTCTCTGCAGTCAGTGATTTGCAATCTGATAGCATCTTACAGACTCAGAGTTTTTTCAGGCATTCGCAATACAGCTCAGACAAATACATTATCATGAGAAAGTTGGAGAAGATATTTTATCTAGTGTACAGTTTACTTTCGATTGGCTTCTCCTCTGGCCAAACCTCACCTGAAAAATGCAAGCAAACCCATTTCCATGGTTCCAGACCTTGCGGAGTTCCAAAGGGCAGCTATAAAGCTTCTCTGGCTGACTCCAAAACTACACAGTGCTATCTTTTCCCTTTTATACCTTCTGATAATTTGTTACACATACAAACAGCAAGAATCTGTACCAGAAGTCTGAATTAAACATCCTCCACCATATAAATAAGTACTTAGGCTGCAACCTAGAAGCTGGTCCTTTTAAGCTTTGTGGGAAACTCGATCAAGTCTGAAGAGTCCCCATTCAGGAGGCAAGACTAGAAGATCAAAAATATTTCCCTGTTCATTCTTCCCAAATTCATGTCTCTTTGGCTCATGGAGACAAAAATCAGCAACAAAGATCACTGAAAGTATTTTATGCAGCTGCAGTACAGTCAGGCACAACCCAGCCGTGGAACCACAAGCTTACAAATAAACCCACAACAGGTTTGCGTAACCCAGAGCTAAGACACCTCCACTTCTACAACACACCACACATTCGGCAGTAGTGACACCTCATCGAAACATGGTTTTAAACCTTCTAATTACAAAATGCCAATGGAAATGAAGGACGTTTACTCACACAGGTTACTTTCCGGTAGATTTGAGCAGCATTCTGGCATTCTGAGTAAGGGTATTCTGAGGTAGCCATTTCCAACATGCACATTCCAAAGGCATAGACGTCCACAGATTCATCGTAGTGTTCCTCATACATTTCTGGGGCCATAAATTCCGGTGTACCTACACAGACACGCACAAAAGAATGTAAGTTTTTTATAAAGTCTAAATGGCTTTAACCACAACCTTTTACCTCTAGAAGTGCACCCGTTCCAGCTGTGTAAGGGTGTATGCACGATTCCTTCAGAACAGGGAAGGAACTAGATTAAGCTCAAGCATCCTCCAGGGAAGAAACCCAAAGTCAATACACATATGGACATACCCATGGCTTGCTGGTAATAATACAAGGGGGAAGAGAAAAAAAGAAAAATAGAAGAAGTATCAAAATTTCAAAAATGAACAAGAGAATGAGATATGGCACATTGCCTGACTGTACTGGGAGTCACGAAATGGCTCTTTTTCTGGGTGGAGAAAGGGATGCATACGGGTTTGTGGAGCTGAAAAGCAGAGAAGAAACGAGAACCTTTGCTCTTGTTTTCATCAATGCAAATTTGCATATTTTTTTTCCTCCAGAGAGACACATAGCAACTACCTGGCAGACAGCACTGTGAAAGCAAGCGGTGTCACAAATCCCCTGCAGTCGTGCACAAAACATTAAACAGAATTCTGTCACTGGTTTAGTGGGACAAATCAGTGAGGCTACTCACAGAATAAGGTCCTACTCAACAGGGATTAGGGTGTCAGAAATCTGATGCAACAGGGGGAACACAAAGCGAAGCCCTGTGCTTGCTGCTGCAGAATGGGAGGTTGCAGCTTTATGACAAGTGGCAACTTACAGTGCCTGCAATGTTTGCACAGCAAACTGCTCTGAAAAGTGAGGTCTTAGAGAGCAAAAGTGAAAAAAATTAACACTTTAATAATTTATTCCAGGAACCGTATCTCCTAATTTATGCTTAGGAGTCAACACTAACTTATTTCCTTTTTACACAGAATCACAGAATCATTAAGGTTGGAAAAGACCTCAAGGATCATCAAGTCCAACCGTCAACCCAACACCACCAACCCATGTCCCGAAGCACCACATCTACACATTTCTTGACCCCCTCCAGGGATGGTGACTCCACCACTGCCCTGGGCAGCCTGTTCCAATGACTGAGACACCAACACAGTCACGTGTTGCAGGAGAGGACCAGCGAGTCATGAGCATCAGGATGCCACAGAGAGTGCGAGAGGTCTTGGACCACATGAAGGATCCAGATGAACTCTTCCCATCCAGCCCAGCAGCAGCTGCCCCAGCACCCCAAGCACTCCCCCCAAGCCCCATGGCAACCTGGCGGGGTCAGTAATTTTTTGTTATGACATCTCTACATCAAAGACACAACTGTAAAAAGTAACATATATTACGGAAAAATAGTTATTGTATATCTTTGGGGACTTGATATAAGCTTTTTTTTTTAATGGCAATGTAAATGATATCTCCCAAAATTTAGGTCTGCCAGTAAAAACCCTGCTTCTGCACATTTTCCAAAGTAAAAAGCTGGACCCATGTCACCAAAGCTTCCCTGAGTGCCTGCTCTCGGGGTCCCTCTCCCAGTTGTCACACGGGCAGTGGCTGCTGCTCTCAAACAGTTAACAACTGCCAGATGGGGAATGTCTTTCAGAGCCACTACCTTGTTTTAGAAGGAACAAGATTCAGAGGCAGGAGTGAAACTCATGAATTATGGAGCATTTAAAGCAAATCTGAAAAAGCTACAGCGATAGCCTAGGAGGCAAATGAAATTCTTGACACCATTCCAAACTAGCATGAAAATGACATTTTCCCCCCATCACTTGAGGATGGGAAGGAACACATACAAGTACTCTTAAACAAAACAGACCACCTAGGCGTAAAGCTGCTCAGCGTCTCTTCAACTCCTTTTGGCAGAAGGAGTTTTGCCCTGGCTCAGCTCCCTGCAGGATACACTGCAAGGTCAGGCTCGCATCAGCCATGGCCACAATCACAGCAAGGGAAAAACTGGACTTCAGCCATGCTGACTTCATTCCGTTCAGACCCCTGTGAAATTGCAGCTACTAATATGCCTTTATAGCTACTACATCTACGGAGGGGGCAGAATTACTCATCTCACCAGCGTTTCCAAGCCCTCCTAATTCTTCCTCTGGAGCAGCACTACTCATGAAAAAGATAAGCTCGGTTATATTGCCAAAATGAATGCAGAGATCTTGCCAGCAACCTGCAGCCCTTCTCAGTATTGAATTTCCTTTAGATACAAGCGTGCTTTGGTGGTGTTGTGCTAACAACTGATTTTAACAAAACTTGCATTGGTATCACTGATGTTATTCCCACTATTAGTACTATCGATACTATTCCATGATGGCCCATGGACAATTGCTGTACTGCAAAAAAAAGATGTGAAAAAATACTGACTCTCAACAGAAAAAAACCCACCAATTATTAGAAGTTAAAACCTAAAGAAACTTAAGACATAAACCAACATGATTTCACTAAAATCAACAAGGTTAAGCAGACCCACAGCAGCCAAGCACATATCCAAAATTTCTGTCATTCTGGCTTCAATGATTGGGCTCCCTAAGGATTAAAGTTGATACTTTTGTACAAATAATTGTAAAGAATTATAATCTCTGAAAATTTAAGCAACTACCACTTGAAAGATACGATGCTATTTTCATATCCAGTAAGAGAACAGTGGTTGTCACTATCAGTTTGCTAACTCTAATTACCTCAAATCTAATTTCCATTTATATGGTAAGCTGAAAAACAACTACGTGCATGATAGCTTGCCCCACTTTCAGCACCATTTCTCAGGAGCTTCCAGCTTCCTAAGAACCATCACCTATCGATCTGAACAAGGGAGATTTGCTACAGAAACTTGAGTTAAAGTCTTCAAGAATTCAGGAAAATATTACATTTACACAGAAAACATTAAACATAACTTTTGCAAGGAAATGACGTCCTTCAACCGTCATTGAGAAAAGGTCCTCCCAGTTCACGCAAACCCAAGTTCTAACACTCCTCACACAGGCACCACCTAAGGGCATCAGCTATTGCGCATCCTAGTGGAAATTCCTTTTAATTTCATACCTACTGACTTCTAATAAATTGCAGCTGTTGCTTCAGCAGAACCCTGCCAGGCCGGCATCGAGGCAGGGACAAGCTCTGCCGTGGCCTGCAGGAGCCGCCTGTTTTGCTGGTGCCCTGTACACGGGGATAACGTGTTCCAGCCAGACCAGCTCCCTCTGGCCTCTCTGCAAGGGAGAGCAGCCCGACTCTGCAGGGACACTACTGCCTCCCCCTTCCCCAAAAGTGACCGTCCCTGTCCCAGCATCCCTGGAAGCAGAAGACTTCCCGGGGGCTTTCCCAGCACTCCCTCACTCGGGAGAGCCAGGGCATCCTTTCTCTCCCCTCTCCTCTCTTTTCTTCTCCCCTGCAGCAGGCACGGAGCCTGTTCTCAGGAGGACGATGCACACAAGCTGCTGAGCACTTGCTGCTGCTTTTGTAGGAGAGAGGAGAAGGATTTGTGGATACCAAGTAATACGTCAATTAAAAAAAAAAAAGTGGTTGACCATTGTGATACAGAAGGAAGAAGAATTCATGATACCATTTCCTACTAATTGAGACTTTTATAGTGATATAAAGGGAACAGTCACAAAACCACTTTAATCTCTACTACCAACCTACAAGGGAAAAAACCACTAATGCAAAATGTGAAAGAAATGTATTAAAAAGAGCACCACCATATCAACAGAAGGAAAGCAATGAGAAGAGGAGCATTACCTATGACGCTTTTGGCAAAGGAAGCTCTCTTGAGGGTTGCCAGACCCAAGTCTCCTATTTTCACAGATCCAGTTGGTCCAGTAATAAAAATATTGTCACATTTCAAGTCTCTGTGAATTATTGGTGGAGTTCTTGTGTGCAAGAAAAGAAGACCCTTCAGGATTTGCCGGCACCAACTACGCAGGACTTTAGGTTTCATCACTTTAAATCTCTTCAGATACCTAGAGCACAAACATACACAGAAGCAGGTACAAAGGGAATGAAGCATTACTAGAGATTCTAGGGGCTTTAACAGCTGAAACTCCATTCTGGATAAAAGCCCCTTATTTAGATGCTATAATAGTAGCTCAGAAATAACACAAGATTGAAAGAAATAAATCTTTTCAAAGGAGGAATTAGAGCATGTATTTTTAGGGAGGAAGATAATAAGCATTTTTGGTGCAAATACAACCAAATATTTGCAAGTCTAATAGTGGAGCAATTCACTTCATGCAGAGAACAGCTTTAGAATATGTTCATATATTCAGATCAGAGGAATACTGAAGTTTAATTTTAACCACAAGACTTTGACCTCTGTACCATGCACCTGCATTTTTTCCATTTACCTATAACACCAGTTGGGAGGGAACATTTTGGAAAAATGTAAAACCTGCTAATGCACTGGCAGAGTAGCACACTGGATAGATGCGGTGATGAGTACGGCTCCCATTGGGGCTGAAAATCTGTTCCAGAATCCATGCCAACTGTTTTATATCAACCTTAACAAGACTGTCAGTACCAAAAGCTATCAGTTAATATTGTTCGGTAGATAACCTAGGCACCTTCTGCTTCAAAAAGAGATTCTACCGCTCGAGTGCTATTCTATCTGAATTTTCTAACAAAACATGCAAATAACAAGCACAAAGGCAATCACAAAAACACACCCTGACAAATTAAAATGTCACAGGCAGAAGATGAAACACACCACAGAGCTGCTTCTAGTTGCATAACTGAAACGGGAGAGCAGGGAGAGAGATGGAGGCCAAAATTCTTCCTGGCAAATCAATGCAGTTCAAACATGGGGACAAATGACAGACACCAGAGAACAGCTCCATTTTTTTTTTCCTTTATCTGGAGATGCCTTTTTTCAGAATGTGAAAGTAGGATTTTTCTAAAAATTTCCATGGCTATTCTTAGCCTCCTCACCAGGAGCGCAGTACTTACGTCTTTAGTGTTCCAGAGGTCATCAGTTCGGTAACCAGCACAATGCATCTTTTGCCTTTTGCACAGGATTCCCAGAAGTCATAAAACCTCACAATGTTTGGATGCTGTAGACCTTTCAACATTTCTGCTTCCTCTTTAAATCTCTGCCTCTCTACTTTTGTGAGTTTTCTGTCCTATAATCCAAAATAAGACATCATTAGTAGTGAACGGACAAAAATAAAGGCAGCACATTGCCAGGGGTATTCAGAATTGTACATTTGTTTTACGCTTGTATCAAGAGCAATTATAAAATCTTTTATGTAAGAGATGAGCAGCGTGTATGAACTAGGGCACTTGCCTTAAATCCAGTGTCAAGAATACAAAGACTCGCCTCGGAACAAAGAGACGCCTGTGCTACGCTGTACTACATGACAGCATTCATATTTCAGGCAACATAAACACACCCATGGCTTGATGGATCAACATGCAGCGATTTACTTCTTGTTTTGGTTTTGTGAGGCTCATTATCCGAGAGATTAACACCCACAGGATTTCACTGCCAGGTACGAATGTCCTCCCAGCTAAGCTGCTTCTGTCTTTCCCAGCGGTGCCTGCTCCGGTGACATTCTGGCAGTGGCCACCAGGCGAGGTCCCCCAGTAGCCACACTGGGCTGTACAGCCCATCCCATTTCTCTAGGGACAAACTGCAAACAATAACCCCTCCAAAAAAAAACCCCACACATTTTTTTCTTATTTATTTGCTATTCTGTCTAATTTTACAGACTTTTCTTTAAAGCTGTCCTTCAGCCTTTTCTGTAGGCTGCACATTGGCCACATGGAAATAATTATTCCTTTAGATTACAAACGTGAAGAATGCCATGTTCTATTACTCTGGTTTTCCCAGATAAATTCAGGAGCATCTCCCATAACCTCCAGGCTGTGAAGTGACACACACAGAGCCGTCTCCTCCTCCCCACAGGTCAGCAGAAGGCTACGGGGCTGCCTGCACCTCCTTAGCAACGTGGAGACCCCACAACTGGCAGCTCAGATGCGCACTCCAGCCTCTTTAGATGATGTAAAAGAGCAAAATGGGAATTTCACCGGGGATCACACCCTTGCTGTCTGGTTTGTCTCCCCTGGACGCTTGGCCAGGTTGGAAGCACATCCCTCTGCTGCCCTAGAAATGAAGCTTTCTCATTCTTTAAAAGGCACAATTGTGTAACTGTTCTTACTTACAGAAGCAAAGGCTCACAAATCACTAAGATTAATTAGTTCATATTTTAACCTCAGACATTTTCATTTTCTTGGCTCACTTAGGCATGTTTATAAGAGCATATAACCAGTGAATTGAACTGGCACTCAGCTGGTTTGTGACCAGGATGCAGAGGGATCACTGCCATTTCCATAGCCTGCCCTCATCTGCGGTCACAAAGAACTCGACACAGGAACGAGAATTTCCCCGGCTACAAACAAGCCAGCTTTACACAGAGACTTCACAACAGGAAAACTTGGGTTGAAACAATGATGCCTTGGCTCTTCTTGAAAGACAAAAAACCTGCTACCCCAGTGGCGTGTGTGCGCGCATAAGGGAGCACTTCCATTTTCTACTGCTGCTGCTGAGAAGGTTTCTCAGTTTTCTTTACGCTTTATGGAGCGGCATCAGAGCTAACGTTAGAATCGTAGAATCACAGGACGGTTTGGGTTGGAAGGGATCATCTAGTTCCAGCGCCCTGCCACGGGCAGGGACACCTCCCACTAGAGCAGGTTGCTGAAAGCCTCATCCAACCTGAGCCCATCCAGCCACATTGCCTTGAGCACCAGCAGCCACCAGGGCTGGCAGAGCCGGGTGACCGGGGGGACGGCTGCCTGGAGCACCCCATGCCCAGCAGCACTGCCGGGGATGGGCAGGCAGCAGCATGCAGAACGCCAACAGCCAAGAGCAAGGCAGAATTTCTGCTGCTCTGTACCAACTGCGTTTTTTGCAAGTTTAACAAGAGGAAAAAAAAAAAAAAAAAAGCAGGCTGTCTAATGAGCCAGGACAGAAGAGCCTGAGAATTGCTTTCAAATCCATCACTTCTTCCCCTACTGCTGAGTTCCCTCTTAATTTAAACCCTGTAGAATAAATCAGCCACACTGCTATTAGGGAGGAAAAAGAGCAAGTCCTTGTGTGAGCCAGGAAGAGCAGAGTGGGGACTAGCAGAGAGGAAAAGGCAGTGACACAGATCCAGCAGCTTTTTTAAAACCTTCTAATGAAAAAAAAAAAATAATATCCCTTGACTCTCATTTCCAGATTTCTGCGTACTATAAGGAATTTTCCACTGCTACTTTAAGGGTAACTTTAAAAAAAAAAATCATTCAGACACTGCAGAGAACCATATTCTGTACATTGCACACACCACGAGCGCCAGATCTGCTCTCTGAATTCCAAGCGCTAAGATGGCACGCTGGGCAACGGCAACAAAGCGATTCTGGAACACAAATGTGTGTTATCTGCAACTACAGTGGAAAGAATCTGGACTTTTTTTTCAATCAGAATGATAGCGGAGCACCGTTCTCAGAAGAGAGCCGGGCTCCAGCAGTAACCCTTAAGAGGAGAGGCGAGGGCAGGGGTACAGCAGGGCTCGGGGCAGGGGTACAGCAGGGCTCGGGGCAGAGCAGCCGCCCTCGCATGCTGCGTTCCCTGCACAGGAGGGGTCTCCAGCACTGTAAGGGCTCAAACAACCTTCTCTAAATCCCTCCAGGCTGAACCTGACACGAGTGTTGACCAATGCATAAGCTGTTTCTGAAAGGGCTTAAGACTCAGACCGTTTCCTACTCTGAAGCAGCAAAAACACCCGTTTAACTGCAGGACTTCCTCAGGGTTTATTCCAAACCCCAAAAACCTTCACTGGGGTCACAGAGACTTATTCCCCATTGTATAACCCACACAAGGTGACATGTCCTTATGCTGAAGGTAAGGCTGTAAAAAGCCTGAAACAACCCTAGGACACCAAATCTGGAGATGAGGAACAGGATCCTTTGGAAAGGTCAAGCCAAAGAAAGCTAATCCACTTAGCTGGATTGAAGGCATTATTTTGCACAACCAAAATTTATCAAAATTTGGGGGAATGAAGCAGGTTTCCAGATTCACCCAAGGTGTCTTCAACCATCATGCTAGCTGCAGCGGCGGGTGTTTCCAACGTGGGACAGCTGAGCGAGGGGGCTGGGGGATGCGGAGTCCCTGCTCCCCCCGAGTCCCACACGCGTGACAGCAGCAGCATGCCGAGTTGACAAACAAGCTTGTTACTCAGCCTGCTCCACTGCATTTATGGCACCACTGCTATTCTGAGCTGCCTCAAGATTTGAAACTTGGAAAATGTTCTTCTCGCTGTGATCCGCGAGATATCAATATTAGATCGCAGTTATCTACGCGCCTTGTCTCCTTTTAAGGCATTCACGCTTCTTGGC